CCAAGATTCTGGTTTCCCTTTGTTCCAAACTGTCTTTTCAGGGATGTTTGAAGATAGAGAAAATCTCTCTCTCCAGGGCAAAAGGCTTACTATTCTGTATAAGAAAGAGAATGTCTGCCTCTGGAGGGAAGGGCAGGCATGCTAATGCTCATTATAAAATATTCAGGTTCCCTAAGCTCAAAGTTTTTCTCTTGTAATGCAACCCAGTGTATGTGCAAGTGTCACCTGGCCCTCTTTGTATTGCCCTGTGGGAACTGGGGGTCAGCAAATCAATGACAAATATACTGATGCTCTGGCTTCTGCTATTGCTGTGAGTCATAAAGTCCTTTGACTCTGACCTAGGAGTCTCATGTCTTGTCACCACCCATGAAACTATAGAAGGTTAACTTGTTAGCTTGCAAGTAGGGTAAAATCTCTGACCCTTGGTTTTTTTGTTTGTGTGGTAAAATATACATAACATAAAATTTACCATTTTAACCATTTTTAAGTATACAGTTCAGTGGCATTAAGTACACTTACATTGTTGTGCAACTATCACCACTATCCATCTCCAGAAATTTTTCATCCTCCCGCATTGAAATGCTACTCATTTAATACTTACTTCCCATTCCCTTTTCCCAAAGCCACTGGTTACTTTCTGTCTCTATAAATTTATCACCCTATGTAAGTGGAATCATACAATATTTGTCCTTTTGTGTCTGACTTATTTCATTTAGCATGGTGTCCACAAAGTTTATCCATATTGTAGCATTTATCAGGATTTCATTCTTTTTTAAGGCTGAATAATATTCTATTGTATTAGAGCTAGAAAACACCTTGGAGATTATCTGGTTCAAATTTTTTATTTTATAAATGAGAAAATGCAGTTTCAGAGGAGAAATGATTTGGCAAAATCACTCAGTGAACATCAGGACTAGATAACAAATGTTCTCTCTCTACAGATAGATGGTTAATAGATGATTGTAAGTGGAATCAAGAGAGAGAGAGAGAGAGAGAAAGAGAGAGAGAGAGAGAGAGAGAGATGATAGACAGACTATATCTATTTTTTAATTAGGCAGCTCTGAGATAGAGTACTACAACTAATTTATAGCTTAAAAGAGCTTACTGAGTAATCTCATTAAGTTTTCCTTCTATGACAGGATCTGCATTGCTTAAACTTTGCTTAGAATTTGGAGATTCTTGACCACAGGACCTGAGTCAGTCATTTTTGCTTCCCTGTGCCTAGCTTTGCATAACAGGTGGGCAATAAAGTGCTATGTTAGATTTGTTCCTTTAATTCCTATCTTTTCAAGGAGAGAGATTTTTTTTTTTTGATTTTGCTTTGTGCACATGTAACAACTAATCACATCTCCCTTCTGTACTGTGTTCATCATCTCACCTATCACATTTACCACAGTTATTCTTAAGTAATTTCTGTCTACTCAACTGTATGGTAGCTACTGTGAGGACATGAGTTACTTACCTCTGGACCCTAAGGTATAGCACAGTGCTTGACACATTAGTAGGTTTTCAATAAATGCTTTATGAACCAAACTGAGTAAATATAAGTCTTTCTTTTTCTGTATTATTGATACATGAGTTTTATTTAATTAAAACTCCCAACAACTTAAAAAGAAAACCTTTCTCGATTTCCATTGGAATTTAGTTTTTGTTTTAATTATATTTAATTTCTAAAGAATATTTCTTTAGTTCTTCATGCATAGCATAATGATTTGCTACTAACTACTTTCTCTACTACTGTAAAATGAAAATTTCTAGGTGGCTAAATATAATTTATACATTTATTTTGACTTTAAGGATACACTACTTTTAGTTAAACTCATCACTTCTCATTTATAAAAATATTAATACTCATAGTTTAAAGAGAGAATATATCTACTCTAACAATTTCTTTAAAAACTATAATTCTCAAGAAATATTTTCTGAAATTTCCAGACATTTATAGTTACACACTTTTTAAAAAGTATTTTGAGTTAGATGGTTTTCTGGAAAATTTGAAATTAATAGTTGACTAGCATTCCATTAAGTTTTCAGAATAATTAATCTATAAGGGCATTATGTTTAAATCAGAGTAATTGACAGGATGATATACATCTATAAAGGAATTGTGATTAAGTCACAATAACTAATTTATATGAACCTAACTAAAGTTTCTTTTTAATTTTAGTTTTATAATACCATACACCACAATATGTAGTTTTTTTATCTGGATAGTTCTATTTTAGATAAATATGTTGTTAGAAAAGGCTGCATCCAGTGATGCTACAACAGAAAGATCTCTTAGGATACTTGGTCAGGTCTAGTTTTTACTTCTTTTGTCAAACTTACTGTATATTTCTTTGAAATAAATTCTTCATCTTTCACTGAGATCTTGCTTGTCAATGAATAGGAGATATTTTAGTTTTTCCACAAGTATATGTGGACTATTCTCATTTTGCATTCTTAACAGGGATCAAAATTCAGTAAATATTTTAATGTGCCAGTATTTGTTGCCAGTGCATCTCGATCTAATAAATAGTAGCTGTCTGTTATATAGGAACTATTAACTAAAACTCTTCTTTGGTAATAGTTCTTCCCCCTAAAGGACATTATTGGCACATGACTCACTCACTCTATCTATCTATCTATCTATCTATCTATCTATCTATCTATCTATCTATCTATCTATCTATACATGTAAATACATGCACACAGCTAAAGGATTAAAAGACAATATAGTATGATATATAGGTGGGTTGTCTGTAGAATAGATTTGAATCTTATGTCACATTCTAATTGTGTGCTTTAAGAATATTAATCTTTCTAAATCTCGATTTCATAATTCATAAAATGTTTTTATGTCTGTGATGATCAAGTAAGATACTGTAAAGCAGTTAGCATTAATGCCTGCCATATAGCAAATGGTCATTAAATATTAGCTAGTATTATGATGATTTACATTTCTTATTTTTATTTTTCTTCTTTCCTGCCTCAAGAAAATTTAAAGCAACTTATCATGTTTTCTAGACAAACGACTCACTGTGAACCATTCCCATGGCTCATGGATAAAACTCAGAAGAACCACTGAAATTCTGTATTAGATGTTTAGAGAACAAATGAGTACTTGGGGAACATAAAGCTTGAAAAATTCTCCTGTGGATTCCAGATAGCTAAAATGTTCATATGTGTACTAATAGGCAGTGTATTTAGATGAAGAAATGCTGGGTTGAATTTGACCAGGACTAAATGGAATATATTGTTTTATGTACTTTGGGTAGCTCAGAAGCTGACCCTCAGTTTTACCTTCTATATTGCACTTGAAAGATCATTTCAAAACATCTAGTTTCTTACAAACAAAGTGTCATTGGATGGAGAATAAGCAATGCATGGGCTTTGGAATCCAAATATCTCTGAATGAATTGCCTTTATGTCATTTTCTAGCTGTGTGCTCTTTCGCAAATGACTTTGCCTCTTGAAGCCTCAGTTTCCTCAGCTATAGAATTATGCTAATGATACCTACCTTGTAGATATTATAAGAATGGAATGAGAACATGTATATAAAGTGTCTTTTACTGTGTCTGCACTTGACTGGTCCTCAATAGTGTTAACTGTAGTTATTATCAGGAAAGTAATTATAAAGTACACTGCAATGTTGGCTCTGTTCAATACTTTTATGGATACGTGTGAGCTATATTCAGTTGATATAATATTACTGTCAGAACATAACCTGCTCAATACATATAACCTAAACAATGAGCTTTTAAATTATCACTATCAGTTTTAACAGTTGACATGTACTGAGTATTATGTGGCAATCACTGGATTAAGTGCTTTCTCTGCATTATTACATTTAATCTCCACAGAAGTTTGGATGTTGTTATCCCCATTTTATAGAGGAGGAAAATGAAGCTTAGGAAGGAGAAATAAAATGCTCAAAGTTATGTGGCTATTAAGTGCCATTGAGGGCCTAGAATCTGGGTCTGGTCTGAGTCCAAAGGGCAATCTCTAACTTAGATTTTACCACCTCTTACTTGGTTATACAGTCTAAAAAACAGAAAGAGAATCACCTGTTAGAACAACTCTACTCTGCCTTTAGGAAAAATGAAACATGTTGCTTCTCAAAGATTTTAGTTAATTAATAGGGAATCAAATATTCAAAGTTGAAGCTGTGACTTTGTAAATTTTCCTGAAATGAGAGAAACTATGACTGTATCATCAGGCCACAACTGCCACCACATGTAACCCGTTTCTTACTTATTTTGCCTCTACTTAGCCTCAAGTTCTTTTTTCACTTTGTGTCTTATAAATGTACCATACATGTGTTATGAACAGCACACCCAGAACCATATTTTGGCATTAAAATTCCATGAAGTCCATTTTGAGAATCAGATTACTATGCTTATTTTTA